GGACCATGTCAAAGGCCTTGCTCAGGTCATAATTTAATAATTATGAATAGTTAGGAATACTATAAAGAAATATTCCAACAGGTGTGGGAGAAAGAGCACAATGAAGCAGGCATTACAGACACCACCAGCTTGAGGAAGGGGGTCACATTTTTACTTGGGGATTTTCAGCTCAGTGCTTTTGCAGTCTGACAAAGAGTAAGGTAAACCACAGTTTCAGGGAAGGAATAAATAGTTAAAACTTTTCCTAGGATTGCCAGAGGCTTCCAATGACAGGCCTGGTGGTGGTATGAAACTGATGCCTGCACCCATTAAAATGGCTACTCTCTTCATCAGTTCCAGGTAGCCAGAGATGGAGGGCAGCAGTTAAGGGTCAACAGAAGATCAGCTCAGAGTTTAATCTGGAAATGCAGTAAGCTTATTTTGTTGTTCATCCCATTATTTTGCCAACTTTTTCCCAGCATAATGTCACCTGGATTTACAAGCGGGGGAAGATGGCTTGCCAATATGCCCTACATCAGTAACTGAAGAGATGGGAGACACCATCTCAATTCCCTGCTTCATCATGTATATCCTATATGGCTTTGGGAAGTCCTTTGGGCCCAGATCTTTGCAGATACTTAAATGTTTATCTCCCACTGATTTCACTGAACTCAAAGAGAACCAGGTGTGTAAGTAGCTTAATTTCTCTTTGCCCCAGATCCCTGTCTATAAAATGGAGAACGATAGGATTTGTCTGTCTGCCAGAGATATGTGGTGAATGAATAGGCTGAAGAAGTTCTCAGAGACTAAAATGACACGGGCCAAAGGAATATGTAAAACTGCTCATCAGAATGCAAACTGTGATCTATCTGTTGCTCAGTGTAAATCAAGGTTTTAATTGTTCCCACTGCATGTCTTGCAGTTTCTCTTACTACTATATTGGACAACCAAGTAATCAGCACAATTGCTAATCTTCATAGTGCCTTCCGACAGCCTGGGAAGTGTTGCTGTCTCATGCACAGGCTGTGACTAGCAAGGTGTGTTCTGTTTCTTGTCTTGCCACCCTGTGACATACAGCATAGCTACCTTCTCTGTGACTAACTCATATAATTTATAGTCCTTAGTGGTCCCTAGGTGAAAATATAAATATAAGTTATTGTTACTGAAATGATTACTGCACTCCAAAGTGCTGAGGCAGTAAATTAATCCTTAATGTGTATATTTCAAACAGTCAGTGGTTTGATACTTAACATTTTTATTTCAGATTTGTAACCAATAGTACCCTATGCTTCTTGTGATGTGTATCTCTGGAAAACTGGTATTTTATAGAGAGCAAGAGGCACAGCCATTCAGTCACTGCTGTCACTACAAATTATCGCAAGGATGGCCTTAGACAGAAGAAGTGCATCTGATGCTGAGAATTTTGTGAGTTTCTTTTTTTAGAACAATGCCTTGAGGATGAAACGAGCCTAGTTTGCCAAATGTTTTTGCAATAGTTGTGTTTTATTTGTTCACTAATTTTGGCAATATATATTGCCAAATAAATTGTGTGGGTAGGCTTCAGGGACACCAGAAAAAAAATGGTTTTGGGAAGAAAAAGCAATAGCATGCTGTGGAGGAGGGCTCTAGATGCTGCAAGGGGCATCTTTTAAGACATGTTTGGTTAGTGAAGGCAGGAGCTTCTTTATTAGCCTCTATGTTGCTCTTTCATATTCCTGCAGAGGCACAGACGGGGGCTTATGGAAATAAGTGTGACAAATAGGCACCTGTGGGAGCAGGGGCAGGCACTCTGCAGACTGGCCATGGATGCTGCAGGTGCCTTTCTCCCCATTTATTCTGGAATTGCTTGCTAATCTGTGGTACTTCACACACTAAACTCCTACTGAAATCCTTATGGGCTTTCAAAACTCTGCACCAGGTCACTCAAGGTTGTCCCTCTTTTCCCTATGAAGGCTGGTGTGGAGCTGACCTTGGCACTGTTGTCTGCCCATGGAGATCCTCCATCAGAGGTAGTCATGTGAAGGCCTGCCACAGCAGGACTTTCCTGAAGGCTCCAAAACTACCAAAGCTTCCCCACAAGAAGCAAATTCCACTGGTTAGGACACTCAAATGGCAGTGCTTTGCCATAAGTCTTCCCACTGGTGTTTCAGTTTCTGCTTAATGCATCTTACACAGACTTTTAGCTATACACAAAGTTACCCCCTTAAGGCTCTGCATCTCCTCCCTCCCTCCCTCTCCTAGGGAAATGAGGATGTGCAAAGAGGAAAAAAAAAAGTGCTTGGGGGAAAAGACTGGAACAGTACAGGAACCTTCCCTTTCTGTGCCTGCAAGAAAACATGAAGAGTACAAAAAAAGAGCAAAGTAATTCCCTTCCAATTTGTCTCCTAGTTCCAGTTGCTATCCTACCTTTAAGCATCTCCTTTTGAACAAATGCAATTTCCACTCCGGTAATCCGAGATGCCTGCAGCCTGACCACAAGACCTGAATTTGCACAAAACACTGGCACATTTCCTTGAAGAAGAAAAAGGGGCCTATTGCTAGAGAATATTTATAGAGAAGAAAATATCATATAACCTTCAAATGTATTAAGTAATATGTCATTTTATCACTGCCTTTAAGGAGCAGATGTCACTTGGTATTATTTGAAATGGCAGTCTTAACGCACACTGTAAGTCACGGCCTCTCAAGTCCAATTCAGGCATTAGAAATTAGAGTAGCTAACTGTCTGTGTCCTCTCTGATTACCTTGATTGTCCCTTAGAGTAAAGTTGGGGTTGTTGGCTGCCTCCGGAGCCAGGCTGTAGTAGAAGTGCTGACCCTCCTGTGGGTCATCTCTGTCGATGGCGCTCACTGTCTGGATCAGCTACGGAATGCAAGAACAAAACAGAAACAGGTGAGAAGCAAAATATATATAATATAAATAAATAAACAAACATAACATATATTTATGTATATAAATATAAGCAACTGGAGCATTTGAATGAAACTGTCTTCTGAGGTGGGATAGGGGAATCAAGAAGAAACTCAAAATCTTGCAGGGTTCATTTGTTTTGCTGTGATCATGCAAATCACTTTTAGACAAAGGAGGAGATAGTCAGTTTGGTTCAAATAACAGACACTTTTCTCCCATTCATCCCTCTATTATGTTGTTTGTTTCTTTTTTCTTTTGAGGGCCAAGGGTGTTCAGAGGATGCAATGTGCATTGAAAAGCTTGTAAGAAAGCTCATACTTATTTTCAGCTTCATTTTGCAGGTAGAAAAGGACTTCATGTTGATTATTTTATCACTCTCTTAGTTTTAGATCAATTAAACTCTTCCCAAGATGTCAGTAGAAAAGAAAGAAAAGGCAACCGTACAGACACTCTGCATATGCAATAAATAACACCAGGGAAAGCAACTAAGACAATACTAAATCCAGAAAGAGATTTGCCACCTCACTTGCAGAGGCTTAGTAAAGTGGGTCTAACAGCTTGAAGCACAGTGAGATAGGTCTGTCTGTATAAACATTCTAACATAATTTTAGACAAGGAATAAATCTTCACCTGTTTTTTTTGCATTCAAAAGTTATTTTTGGATTCAGAGGCAAATGACCGATCTATAAAGTCTTATTCAACATATTAAAACTAACTTCAGAACTTTTCAAAATGTGTCAACAGAATTTCACAGAATCACAGAATGTTAGAGATTGGAAGGGACCTCGAAAGATCATCTAGTCCAATCCCCCTGCCGGAGCAGGAACACCTAGATCAGATCACACAGGAACGCATCCAGGCGGGCTTTGAATGTCTCCAGAGAAGGAGACTCCACAACCTCTCTGGGCAGCCTGTTCCAGTGCTCTGTCACCCTCACCGTGAAGAAGTTTTTTCTCATATTAAGTGGAACCTCCTATGTTCCAGCTTGAACCCATTGCCCCTTGTCCTATCACTGGATGTCACAGAGAAGAGCCTGGCTCCATCCTCCTGACACTCACCCTTTACATATTTATAAACATTGATTAGGTCACCCCTCAGTCTCCTCTTTTCCAGGCTAAAGAGACCCAGCTCCCTCAGCCTTTCCTCATAAGGGAGATGCTCCATTCCCTTCATCATCTTTGTGGCTCTGCGCTGGACTCTCTCCAGCAGTTCTCTGTCCCTCTTGAACTGGGGGGCCCAGACCTGGACACAATATTCCAGATGCGGTCTCACCAGGGCAGAGTAGAGGGGGAGGAGAACCTCTCTCGACCTACTGACCACCCCCCTTCTGATACACCCCAGGATGCCATTGGCCTTCTTGGCCACAAGGGCACAGTGCTGGCTCATGGTCATCTTGCTGTCCACCAGGACCCCCAGATCCCTCTCTGCTATACTACTCTCCAAAATTTGACTTTCTCCAGTAAAAGAAGCAGTCCAAATTAGCATGCATTTCTCAGAAACCTTATTATTTAGGCCACTGATCCTTTAAAACCAGGAAAAAGACTAGGCAATGATTTCTGTTCCCTCTATATTAAGTACCTCCACAAGTTAGCGGGATGAAATTATCCTGCATAGGACTGTTGTGAGGATAGTTGTCTAGCAATGAATAGCTATTTCATTCTGCTTCACAACAAGCTGGGAGAAGCTTCAGAGAACATGCAGTGATATTGCTAGCATAATTTTTCTTTCACAGATCATGAGTGGTGAGCATGTGTTTTTTTAAACTGTGCTTGTCAGCTGTGCATTAGGAGACACAAGTCCCCATCGTGGACCCTGGGTGGTGGAGCACCAGGTTGCCTCCTCACGAGTGATCAGCAGTAGAGCTCACACCAGCTCCAGGGAGGGAGAGCTCGTGTCCATCTGTGCCACAGGCAGACCTTGTTCAAGGGCTTTGATGGGGTTTTGGAAGGGAGAGGAGCAAAGAGGCATCAGCATCATTGCTTGCTTGGAGGTGCTGATTTACAGTGTGCGGAGCTGGAAGTCCTGTGTTTTCTACAACTCTGTGTCATCTCAAGTTCACAGCAGAACAGATTCAGTTTGTCAGCCCTTTGAAGCTGATGTAGTATGTTACGTCCAGCTCCCGTAAGTCCAGGGGTGCCTAAGGTTTTTATAAACAGGGTCTTTTAAAAGTAAGCCTTGTCTGCCACACACAGGCCGGGCTGACTCTGTGGCACATCTCCTCATGCTTCTAGTCTCTTTGTTGCTGCTACAGGACACACTGAGTGTTCGCCTGCTGGCATCTACCCAAGGGAAGGCTTTATTTCAGTTATGAAATACGTTGCACAGTGAGTCTGGAAACTACTGCAAGAGAAAAAAAAGGTGCTATGTATGATGTTAATCCCGGTGCGATGTGCTTGCCTTTGGAAAGCAGCACAGCTGAGCCCTCTTTCCAACACTTACTCTTTTTGGCACGCTGTCTCCATGCAGGACAGCATCCCCTCCCCAGACCCTGGCATTACTAGCATTGCTCACCTGCCCCGCTTTGGCGTTTTCACAAACAAAAGCCTCATAGAACCTTGAAAACTCTGGCGCATTGTCATTCACATCCAGCACTTTCACTGTCACGGAGACACTGCCCACCTGAGAGGGGTTGTCTGTAAGGAGGAGGCACAATGTAAAGAAAAACAACATATGGGAAGGCGAAAAGGTTTGTCCTCACTCTATGCAAGAAGTAAAGTGGCATTTTCACTAGGGGCTCGCGTTAAATGACAATTTCCTATCAGGAACTGCGGTTGTTTGTGGGTTTGAGTGAAGTTGCAAATGCTGCTCTCTGTCTATCCTGGCTTTCCACCTAATCACATTTTTTTCAAACAAGTTCCATGAAAGACTTCAGCCTGGTTCACTCCAATGGGACTAATTCTATAACAAAAGTTTCAGGCAATGCCCAGTAGTTTTCTTTTATTTCACTTTGACTGGGCAGTACTGTTGAGCCTCGTACTGGTGGCACAAATTAGGAAGGAACTGTTTTAAGGATAGGCTTGTTACTCAGAGCTTGTTGAAAGGACTAATTCTGCAGTTCAGATATGTTTTTGCTCAGAATATATGTTCCTTGAACTCAAAAATAGTGTCAAGTCTTTGATACTTTGTAGAGGGGTTTAGAATGTAATAACACATGAAATTGTACAGAAAAGCTTTCACTGAAGCTTAAAACTGCAATGAAAGTTTTACATTCTGCATGACATCATTTGTGATATTTCTGTCCCACTGGCTCATTAGCTTTCTTTGCCAGTAAAATTCAGACATAATTTCATGTATCTTCACAACTTCCAAACTAAGATGCCATAGAAAATTTTTTTCCTTACTGTGTTTCTCTGCCCCAAACCATCTTTTTTTTTTCCTTATTTAATGATAAAATGTAACTCTAAGCAGAAAGAAAAAAAAATCACTATTAAGAGTTCAGAAAAGGTGCAAATATCCAGAAAAATTCTTAAAAATTAGTATTCTCATCTTCTCTTTAGCCATACCACTTTGCGCATTTATCTCCAAATATGTCTCCCAAGCAAGAAATGATATGTTCATATAAACAACAGAGAATTTTCTTACACTCTGGAATTTTCTTAAATGTTCTATGTACTGTATCTATAATGTGTCATATTGCATCATTGAGATAATACTCTTAAACTATATTGTTTCTCCCTAATTTATAATTTAATCGTTCAGCTTCTCACATATCCATCCATAAATTGCTAACACACCTGTCATTGTGGCAGATGAATGTCTGCCTTTACACTGTTAGTAATATTGATCTAACTTTTAAAAGTAGGAGCTTTTTTCAGGAATGCACAACTATGACATTTTTGGAACTATTCACTAAATTAAAATATTGTGCTGCACATGTACAGAGCAAAACTGGCAGGACTGACAGAAGATGAGTCAAAGGAAAACATGCTCTCATATTGCTCTCACCCTTGAGTGCCGCTACAGGGGCCGCTTTTACAGACTCATTTGTGTATCTGGATTTACATGGAATTGAAATGGCCATGAGTGGCTGAAAATAAAACTAGCATCAAAATAGATGGGGGTGAAATCTTATTGTGTCACCAACCCCTCTCACTACTGAAGAAGGGGACAGGAAGGCATCATGTGCTGGAACAGTCACCGCAACTCTTGTGAAATATTCCTTCTGCTAACTTCAATTTGGCTGATTTGGTTCTGGGTAAGCTGTTCAAAACTTTTTTCCTATCAAAATGTTCCCTATCTCTGGTACAGCCTGGATGTGCAGGATGCTCTTGCAGATGTGAGGAATGGATCAGCTATTGGCAGCAAACTTCTGAAAAGCTCCTGCCCCTCAGCAGATGAACTGAGATCCTGAGCAAAAGCTACATGGACCAAAAAGATTTCAGGTAAAGACTGGCTGAACCCTTTATTTTATTTGCTTATGTATCCATTAGTATTTCAAATGCAGGCAAATTTTTCATACTGATACTATGAAATTATCAGCACCTCCTTGTTCTCACAGCCTTGGTAAATACCTGGCACAGATCACAGAATCACACAGAATCATAGAATGGTTTGGGTTGGAAAGGACCTTAAAGATCATTGAGTTCCAACCCCCCTGCCATGGGCAGGGACACCTCCCACTAGACCAGGTTGCTCAAAGCCTCATCCAGCCTGGCCTTGAACACCTCCAGAGATGGGGCATCCACAGTTTCCCTGGGCAACCTGTTCCAGTGTCTCACCACCCTCACAGGAAAAAATTTCTTCCTAATATCTAACCTACATCTACTCTCTTTCAGCTTAAAACCCTTACCTGTCATCTCACCACTACACTCCCTGATAAAGAGTGCGTCCCCATCTCTCCTGTAGCCCCCTTTAAGTACTGGAAGGCTGCTATAAGGTCTCCCCGGAGCCTTCTCCAGGCTGAACAACCTCAACTTTCTCAGCCTGTCCTCGTACAGGAGGTGCTCCAGCCCTCTGACCATCCTCATGGCCGTTCTCTGGACTCGTTCCAACAGGTCCGTGTCATTCCTGTGCTGAGGACTCCAGAGCTGGACACAGTACTCCAGGTGGGGTCTCACGAGAGCAGAGTAGAGGGGGAGAATCACCTCCTTCGACCTGTTGCTAATGCTTCTCTTGATGCAGCCCAGGACACGGTTGGCTTTCTGGGCTGCAAGCGCACATTGCTGGGTCACGTTCAGCTTCTCATCAATCAACGCCCCCAAGTGCTTCTCCTAAGTGCCGCTCTCAAGCCATTCTCTACCCAGCCTGTATTTGTGCTTGGGATTGCCTCGACCCACGTGCAGGACCTTGTATTTGGCCTTGTTGAACTTCATGAGGTTGGACAATCTTGGCACAGATGAATCCTGAGCTGAGCTTTAGCTCTTTGTAAAACCCAAAAGCGTAATGAGTTCACCGTACTAGAAGATCTCAAAGCACTCTGGCCCAAATTATTTATGCAGCAAGCAGATGGTGGTGATGTTTACTTTTTTAGAGCAGATCTCACACAGTAACCTAGCAGTGTAGGATCATTGCTGCGTTCCAGTCCCTGCACCACACAGTCCTCCCAGGTAGGACTGGCAGCCCTGGCAGCTGTGCAGCCTTTGCAAAGTCTGCTTTAGCTGCCTAACCCTTCTGGAGAGAGAGCTCTTGCAGAAACACATCAGGAAGAGTTTTAAACAAATCCCTGGAATACTAATGAATTGAAAAAGCAGCACTCCGCATTCAGTTGCCAGCCTCTATTCCTCCCACCACCCTGTGAAAAGGAGCATAAAAAATAAATAAACTGCAGTATTCGCTTATTGATGTCAGAAGAGTAATTCAGTTAATAGAGCTGTCCACTCAGTGCATAAGAACATGTGAATTGCTGAATTCAGATCTCTCAGCCTGCTTTGTCTATTTCATCTCTTTAATCTATGTACAGCCTGCATTCTCCTTACTCAGCTCCACGGCCAGAACAGTGATGTTGTGCCAAGAAACGTCCTCCCGGTCGAGAGGTCTTGCAGTCATCAGTGCTCCTGATGTAAGGTCAACATAAAAGAACCGCCCCGGATCACTGCTCCTGTCAATTGAGTATCTGCAAGAGTACATATTAAAAATATTATGCAACCCTTCTGAAAACTGTGTGTTATAGCCAACGAAGTACCCAGCAATGGGAATACTGTCGTACATAGCAGATCCACATTTTTCCACAACCTAGTTATGTGCTCCATTGACTTGCATTGGTACAGAGTGAGGTGCTCGATAAACTAGAAGTTCATGTGGCTAACAGCATTTAATGGTGAGCACTACTTGGATGGAGCTGGAAGACAAGAAGATTTAGAGGAAGAAGTCTCAAAGCAAGGCACAGTTCAGCACAGGAACATCTGCTTTACAAAGAAAATGTGTCATTGCAGAGTGTGATGTCTTTTTCTAAGCAAAATGATGCCCCTTCCTTGGGCACAATTCAGACAAAATGAAAATTACTTTACAGCAGCTCTTTCTCTGGGCACTTAGGCGGATGCAGAGGAACCATTCCTTTCCTCATGTTTTTGTATTCTCTCCTCCTTCAAGGTGAATAAACTCCACCTGCATCCTGGAGCATCCTAGTGATTGAGCCATGTCAATGCAAGGGGGATGATGACTGGCTTTCTCATATCATCCAGGCAGAAAAGCAGCTCCTTCTCTGAGGTTGTTTCATCATAATTATTGAACCTGCTTGGCCAATATCATGTCAGTTTAATTCTGGGAATAAGCTGCTCACACCCACGAGCAGGGAATGTGGTGGTACCTGCAGGCCAGAAAACCCAGGCAGGGAGGCAGCCTGACAGCTGTCACAGCTGTACTCAGTCAGAGGGACCATTTTGCAGGGAGTGTGAAATACTCAATGGTCTTCATATGCATCACCTTGCTCTTAACAGCAGTTTTTAGGAGATCCCTTCCTAGCTAGCTATGTTAGCTTGGTAAGAAATCTGCTGGCAAAAGTCACACATGCACCTATGTAAATACCACTGCCTAGAGAAGAACCCAGACTTATTCTCATTTTTGTTGTTTCTTTCTTTGAAGCTGATGGGAATTGAAAGCATTAGTCATCACATCGAATCGATGCGAACAGGGCTCGTTCTGAGTTTTCTCCTTTCAGCATAAATGTATTCACTGGAACAAGCATGCCAGCCTGATCTTTACATAGGCACTTCTTAAACTGGGATATAAAATCCTATGTTGTTGGGATATTCTTTTACACTTTTTTTCAGAAAAATCAAACAGGATGGGATGGCAGATTTGCTTCTCTTTCCTTCCCAGTTCTTCCCTTCTCTTCTTTAAATAAAGAGGTTTCTGAGGCATTTGATTTATTTAGGAAGTAAGTATGAGTGTTGCTATATTTTGCTATAATAATTATTCTTGTATGAGGACTATAAAAAGAATTTCTGACAGTTTAAGGCCAACAAGTATCTGGAATCAAATATGGCTTTGTGATTAGTGGCACGGTATTAATCACCAGTGTCAAGAGGCACAGGTGGAGTCTGGATTCTCTACGTAATTTCTCCTGTTAATAATACCTGCTCCTTCACACTCGTTTCCACTGTACTCTCCAGCTAATCTTCCTGTAGTGCTTAACAACAACCATGGTATATTTCCAGCCATCAGAATTTCACAGTGTGGCAAAATGAGGATTTCAGAGTTCCCCTGTGTTAGTGAGCCCTTTCGGTATGTGTCTTGCCTTTTCCACACTTGAAAAAATGGCAAAAAGAGGGGTCAGATCACAGTGTTAATTTCATCTGGATTTCATCTTCTGTAACAAAATAAGTATCTGGGATTTTGTTTTTCTTATCTTACCTTGCCCTGTGCAAAGTGAATGCAGAACAACCCTAAAACATTGCTAGACTGATACTGCACAGAGTTGGCATGGCTGGAGGAGACCACATAAAAGGCAAAGAGAAGTAATTCTTAACATTTGCATTTTAGATAGCATTACAAATGGTACATTTTTTCCTGTTTCCTATACCCCAATCATTTATGGAAGGAGGGAAGGAGGGAGGAAAGAAAGGAAAGTGAGAAGGGAGAAAGATGAGAAGAAAAAGGGGAAGAAAGTTGGGAAGGAACAGAGTTACAAAGGAGTCAGTGCATATTTGCAACTTTTTCTTTTAATATATCTTTGGTGATGTATTCTGTGCTTTATAGAGTGCTGTTTCATCAAGGGTAGTCACTGGAAAGCTCTGAAGACAACCAAGAAAAACATAATTAAAAATAACAACGAACACTTCTACCCTCTGATAGTCCACAGAATTATTCTTATACTATTTTAAGCATACTAGCATAAAGCTGCTTGCACTGCAATGTTTGGATAATGCTAGACAGTAATCAGCAAAATAGGATGTGAGAGGGAAAAAGTTTAGGGTAATGAAATTGTGATGCAGACAGTACAATACTTCGTTTTATTGAAGAATTTGAGACAATGTCATGAGAAGTATGATAACCTTATAATGTAGGCAGAAAAGATAGTTATATTTAGGTAGGTAGAGATTAAAAAAATAAGAGCACCAAGACAGAAAGCAATATCATTAAGAAGAACAAGCTTCGTGTCTGCTCAGATCTCCTAGCTGAAGCCCACTAGAGTTGCTCATATAGATTTCACTTTCTTCAAAATCTCCAAATACTCGGCATTTTAACTCCCTCCTGTATTTCCCAGGACTGGTCCTGAACGCAGACAATTCAGAAGCTGGACCGACTCAGGGCTAGGCAAACAGCAGCTCAACACCCAAAGTGTTTCTCAGATGAGAGAAGCAGTCGACCTGCTGGGATTATTAACTTGCAGTCAGCTGGAGCTTCTGCAGGTTGTGAAAACTAGTATGTGGGCTGGCATCAGAGAAGAACAGTCTTCTCCGATAAACTGGGCTGGCTTGGCACCTATTATGGAAAAGAGTGCTGTGATGACACAAATCTGCTCCTTTGTCTCCCTGCTGAGTTGCAGCTATGAAGCTCCCATGGCTGTAAATACACCTTTACCTTTCTTAACTCCTTGTGGGAATATCTAGCTCTGCAGCTTTGACCAGATACTATATAATTTAGTGGTTCATGAATATTTATTGGAGCATTCAGTCTGCTCCAAAAGTAGCTTTGTATTTGTGTTGTTGACAAAGGCAGGCTTTGAAACAGACGGGGGAGAGAGGAGAAGCCAGTTGATTACCTTCCCCTCAGTATGGCAGCCAATTCTCAGCAATGCTGTCAGGTTTTCTGCCAGCAAAGGCACGAGAGTCTGGGGTTTGTTTTTAATGTATGCTATCAGGACATGTCTGACCAATTCATTGCAATGCTAGATGCAGATGTTCTCCATACCACAGAAAAGGCATGGGTGAGCTTCTGCATTGCTTCAGCAGTTATAGCAGAGCCCCTCTGGTTTGACTAAACCCACTGATGACTACTACGGGCTAAAAAGAAAGGGAGTTACTCCTGTTTCAGCCCCACCACTGCCCCATGAACCGAAAGTACCAGGGAGCACTCCTGAGGGAATATGCAAAGAGAGGACGGACCTGATTGAGTTGTTGGTCACATCAGGGTCCTTGGCAGAAATGATCTGTATGGTGGTTCCGATCTCCACGTCCTCAGGTACTTCCACGAAGTAGAAGCTAGGCTCAAATACAGGAGGTTCATCCACATCCTCCACGCTGATGTGGACAGTGGTGGTGTCACGGAAGGGACCCAGGTTCAGGAACCTCATTTCCAGGTGGGGGTTGGCACCCTCTACTTTCAAGGTGTAGCTTTTCTTGCTCTCAAAACTTAAAGGCTGAGGAGAAAAAAAAATATCTAGCCTTACGCACGCTGAGCCATGTGATTTTAATTTTCAGAAGTAAAAGATGGCCTTTAATACAAACTGATGCCTCTTTTTTAAAATAAATCTTTACTATGATTTTTAATCACAACATTAACAAAGATAAACATTTGCAGACAGAGACAGAGCATTGAGTGACAGTAGTACTAGAAATGGCAGTGTCTGCAATTTTTTTTTTCAGTTTGAAAGTTGAACTGAAAAAGCCAGGAGAAATATTTGCAGATCACTTCAGAATACGTATTCTTTCATTCTTCTTGCTGAAATGAAAATAAACGCGGACACACCACCATTGCACCGTGATTCACACAGTGTGTTTCATGGCACTCTGAGGACAATACAGGCAGAAACAGACAGTATGGGAGCACCTGAAAATAAGGTAAAGATAAGAAGAGTCAGTTCCTCAAAAAGTGGATCCTGGTGGCAGGGACAAGGATGCTCACACATGAAGTGGAGGTCCCAGTTAGCATCCTCTCTTCTCCCTGAGGAGATAGGAGTCTCATCTCCAGAACACCCTGTCTGCCAAGCTGCTGAAGGGGTCCAGTGGGAGCAGGGGATACGGTCAGCCTCTCTTTCGGGATCCTGCTCCAGTTTGTATCAGTAATCCATCCGTTCTAGAAGTGGGTTTTCAACCTCCTCAGTGTCCTAAATGCAAGTTCACAGTCCAGGTGTGCTGAGTGCTAGGATTTGAATCTCCTCCCTGCCTAGAGAATAGTTTAATTTCAAAGCACTATGAGCTACCCCGACCTCCTCCTGTGGGAGCCCTTCCACTTTGTATTAAATAATCAAGTATTATTTGAAACAAGGAGTGGGAATGGGTCCCTTTTTTTCTTTTCTTTTGTGGTATAACGGACAAAGGGGGGACAGCTTCCTCTGTTAGTAGTTTCATGATTTTGATTTCATTTATAGATAAAACTATTTATTTCATGAACATAGATAAAGAAATAATTGATGCCAGCACTGAACTTTTCAATAAATAGATTTTTCATCTCCCTTCCCTCTTCTTTTCACAGATTCCTGAAGAAAACAGGGCCTCTCCAAAACCTGCTTAGACCTAAACGGAGAATTCCCTAATTAACATTCCATTTACCAGTCTCAGTAGGAGATGACTAAAAGTATCTGGTAATGACAGCATGGAATGATCATTCCAAAGCATACAAAAACTTTCACCAGATGAAGTACATCTTACAGAGGACACAGTCATACTTCCCAAGTTGCAGTTAGAAGTTACAAGCAATCCTGCTGTGTTTAAATGGTCACAATGCTTTACTTGTATCATCTGGGGACTTTTAATGCTGAAAACCAGCACAACTGGATCCCCTTAGCTGGCACAGATCCTGAGCCAGACAAACCAGGAAAGAAATGTCCTTCGGTTCTCAAGAGTTGCTCCTGGGACATACTGCTTTTTGTTACATGAATGGCTTTTAAAATGTGTGTCTTTATTAGTACATAGGGATGTGAGCGTTGTACATGGAACTATCGTGCGCAGCCTTGGTTCATTCAGACTCCAGTAAGATCACTGCTGTTCCCATCTAACACCTTCGTTTCTCTTATTCAGCTCTTTCTTTTTGAAGACCTACCAGCGGACTGGGGCATAGTAATGCTGAGAAGGAGGAGGATGCCAAAGCAATCAGAAGACAAAGGTAGGAAGATCATTACTGTAGCAGTGAAGCCCTCCTTGGAAAGTCACAACCCATCTATTTTCTGCCCTTCTCAATAGTGCAGCTGGGAAATTCTGCAGCCATGAGATGTATATTAGTTTAAGCAGTACCAGCAGAAGTTTCACATGCTCAGGCATGGCAGGAGTAGTATATATTATAGGCCTCAAAACACCCCCTGAATTCAGTGGAGGCTTCAGCACTTGCCTACTGCCACAACAGCTTCTTTCTTCAGAAGTGTAAACATTGCAGTGACATACAAAAGCTTACACTTTCACAGCAAAGTTACTGGTATGGAGGTCCTGCATAGGAATGCCTGACAAAAATCTGGAGTTCTTGAAATTATAAAAGCTAGAACTCACTCAGCATTTAGTACATGTGGTTAAGGAATGAAGACTGGAATGGGAACTCTTTTTCTTTGAGCTGGGGGAGATGATGGTCCAGCATTACTGGAGATGCTGTCCAGCGACACAGTAAGAACTGTGCAACCTGTAGCAGCAGGTACAGATGATCTGAAACTTGCTCCTGCTGCTCTTAGTTCCACCTGCTAAATCAGTAGCTACTGCAAATATGGCACCTGGCAGCAAGGATTTAGCTAGATCTACAAACATATTACCCATTACTGCAGAGTCATTATGGTCTACCAGTTGCATATTTATACATTGTAAAAATAGCAATAAAATATATCCACATGACCAAGCTACACATTCCTGGCAAGGAATGTGCAACGCAAAGCTGCCTAAACATATACTAAGAAAGAGGCCATTATATTTCATGGTTTATCATGTGAAGAAAACTGCATGAGAAACATTGCATGTGCACTAAAATGCGAAGTTACAAAAAGAGCAGTTAAATCACAGAAATGTTTAATAGCTATAAAATCCAACTACATAAGGAAAGACATAATCACCTAGAGTGATCAAGTTAGAAAAATGAGAAAAATCAAAGAAACATGCAAGTCCATCATATTCTTGATGCTGCTGGGTTCAGACTCCCTTAGTTTGTCTTGGACTCCTTCACTGTCAGCTGTGGCTTTCCCTCCTGATCTTCTCCTATGACAATGCCTCCAGATTGCTGCCCGCCCCCATCTGATTTGTGTTCCACAGGTGCATTCAATCCTCCTTCCTGTACTGGTCCTATAGAGAGGGCAAGCAGGTTGCCTTCTGCAAACCGAGCATGCTGCAAAACAGCTGAGAGGAGAAGCAACCCACGGAAACCTCTCCTTGTCCTCGTCCTCCTTCCCCCGGTGCTGAGACAGGCACCAAGAGGTGGGATTTAGCAGAAGCAGCTGAGAGGAGGTGACAGAGCTGCAGCAGCGGGGGAGGAGGGCAGTGTGGGGCTCCCCTGGCTACCGGCAGTAGGAAAGTGAAGGCAGGGAGAAACGGGAGGCTGTCACTGGGATGACTTGCAGGCAGGGATCTTGGAAGGAACTGTACGTCATCAGGAGGCATTCAATATTTTGTGGGATTAGTTAGCTAAGTGGCCACAAGACTGCAAGCAGTGGTCTTGTCTGTAAACCGCAAATTTGGACTTTTTGCTGCCCATGACAGAAGTGCTAATTATTTTGTTTGGGAAATCTCTCTAGAAAAATGAAAAGGAAAGTTTTGCTTTCTCTCAAAGAACATTTCATTCTCGGTTTAGAAATACTCTCTCTCTCTTCTTCCCCCTGTTTTGATATCCTTTTCAATCTATACCAGTTGATTTTTATTTTCTTTTGGTTGAGTGGATCCAAAGGACAACTTTCCTAATGCTTGGCTGTTGATAATAATATTACAAAAAGCTACAGGCATATATAGAATTTTACAAGCATTTAGGTACAGTAGGTGGATTGAGCAGTATGTATCTGATGCCAGTACATATGTGGTATGATTGATGCCGTAAATTTTTATAACTCCTCCTCTTGACATACACGAACATCTAGTAATACTATCTTCATAGTAACAAAACTCAAGTTTATTGACACATTTACTCCAAATAAACTATTTTCTTTCATCAATAAATGAGTGGAAAATTACATTAGAGTTTGCATTCAACATCTATTTCATTTCAGCAAACATGCTTAACTTTAGGGACTAGTGTACATAAACAAGAGGTGGTGAAAGGTGACCGTAAATACGTGCTTAAATGCTTTGCTGGAGACCATAGAGGCTTGCAGGGTCAAACCTCTGCCATGTGTAGTTCCATTTTAGTGCACAATTTAGTCCCAGGCTATTTAAATGGAGACTATACTTCTTTATTAGTAGACTAGATATGCTTAGGCGGAAATATGGTTACAATTTCATAACCTAGAAACAGAGTTGAACTTCTAGCATTTATGTAAGATTGCAGAATAAATATCCTATAGCAGTGAGCCTAAGCAAAATACCCTATTCCTTTCTGCATAGCCTGCGGTACAGTGCTAGCAGTTTCACAGCTGCCATTTTAGAGACAGCTTCTTCTAGTCTAATTAGCATTTATGGATTTTCAAGCAGCAATTAAAAGAAAAAACTGCCTGGGTTTTATTGGTTTATAAATAATTCTAAGGCATGCTTTACTATTGTTTGTGGGATACCAGAGTGAAAAATGTGTACAGTTCAAATGCAAATATTGATCTAATTTCTTGCATTGTAGGATAATTAAGCTGCAGAGAATATTTAAACAGATAAATAGTGAATCAGAACGTTCCTTTGGTGGGAAAAGACATGTTTATGCTAATACTGTCCCCCCCTTTTTAAAGGTTCTTCCAAGTAACACCATCTGCTTTCATTTTTTTTTAGTAAGGAATGTTAAAGAAATTGTGTTTTATAGCAGGAAAGGGGCTACTGTCATGTAATGGGAACCAAGTTACTACAGGCATAAGGGAATATTGCACACACAAAATGTAACCAGGACTGTTAGCCATATAAATTACTATAAAAAGGAAACTTTACTACCTTTCTCACAGTTATGATGCCAACTTGGTAATTAGGATCAGTGTTAATATCAAACACATCCAGTCCATCTCCATCCACAAGGCTGTATTTCATCTCTGCATTAATGCCTTCATCCAGGTCTTTAGCAACCACGCGGCCCACAGTGGAGCTGACGGGAGCAGATTCCAGCACACTCATCTGATAATGCTCTGGCAGAGAGAGACGGGAGCAAAAAACAAGCTGTGAAAAAGAACCAAAAAGTGCACAGCAATGCAAAGAGTAGATCCAGGCAGGCCCACAATACTGCATAGCCTGCAAGGAATCCCTAGCACCTTTCCCTAAGCCGCAACAGTGGTATGATTTCCTTTGAAAAGCCACAGCTAGACTGAATTGCCTGGGGAAGTTTTATTTAGGTGTCATATCAACCGGTTTGTTCAATGGGTTCTTTTCAAAACAACAATACACCTGAAGATGGGAACTTCAACTAGAAAAACAAGGCAATTAAAACCAGTGCTGCTGCAGCCATGATATAAAGCAGGATATGAAACAGATTTAATAGGACAGAAATCCTTTATTAGATCAGCTTTGGAATAAACACACAAGTTTTGAGCACCACAAACCCTTTCTCAAGTCCATATAAACATCTTTTCCACCCTGAACAAGGCTTTGAGAGCTCAGAAGCTTTCCTCTCCCTACAAACCTTACTACCTCTCCCTACAAACCTTGTCTTGAGCACATTCGGTGCATCACTGATTTGCTTAGCAGCAAGCCTGGGGACAGAGAGAGCTGCTATTTTAAAAATGTGTTTTAAAAATATAAATGTTGTATCTAAAATACTTCTCTGCCATCACACTTTATGTTCAAATGTTCCTTGCTGCACTTTCTCTGTTAACTCCACCAATTATTGAGCTTTACAAGGCAGAGTAACACCAAGGGTGGAGTTTGATCTATTCTCATCTTTCTTAACCAAGAGTTTGACATCAAACAGATACAATTCATGCCATTTTCAGAATAGCACCAGCAATGGTGCATTCAACAAGTTGCTCTGACAGAAAAAGTGGAAGGTGATGCTTCTTGATGATCTTAGTGGAGTGCTTTGATTTAGCAGTGCAACGCACAGAAACAGATGGGGAAGAATAGCAACAAAAAGAACTGCAAGAGTTTTAATTTCTCAGCTAGATGAGAAAAATGGCAAAACCAAAATGGCTTGAGAGTGATCCATACCACCAAAAGTATTAGCTTACTTAAAAAAAAAAAAATCCCTTGAAAGATTTAGTTCAATCAAACCTGAAAAGTTTCTCCCAAATTTTTAACAGTGATATAGAATTATGTAGGTAAATTTGCTCTAGAAGAATTTTAAAAAGAAAGAGAAAAATATTGCAGACCTTGCTTTGAGATTCACTTCTGTAAATACAAAGTAACATTTCTGATAAGAGTGGAGGTGCCTGTTTTTGCTTTCCATTAACTGTGGCTGTTACATATCTTAGGGTTTAACCAAGGCTTAGATGAACATTTACTGAAGAGCAGCCTGTATGACAACACACTCTGCACTAGCAGCACAGCTACCATGCGCTCCCCTGCAGCATCCTGGCTGGAGTGTTGAATGAATTATCTTTCGACTTCTAGTACAGCCACATGTCCCTGATTTGACAGACATCCTTCCGGAGACAGGATGAAAAGAGAATCAGAGTAGCAATTAGCAGCCAAAGGCAATGGCCATGAGCAGTCTAGGAACACAAAAGATCTCCTTTCCTTTTTCTGTAAATTAATTTCCCACCCTTTAAAACAAGTGCTGGTTTTGATGATTTTGGAGGTGAGAAACCTCCTCTGAAAGACAAGCTGGTGAATGCTCCATTTTGACATTTTCTTCGATATGAAAATCTGCCCATCTCTAATTGTCACTGTCCTGAGTTTGAAAAAGGCTGTAATGAGAGCAAACAGCAGCTGTGAAACTCAGCCACCCCTTTTTGCCCATCCTGATGCAGCCGGTACTCACTCTGTGGAAATCTGGGTGGGTTGTCATTGACATCAGAGAGGGTGATGTTGACTGTGGTGGTTCCAGCTAATCCTCCCAGCTGTCCACCCATATCCTTGGCCTGGATAATCACTTCATAATATTCTTTTGCTTCTCTGTCCATGTTCATTAGAGCTGTCCTAATTAAGCCTGTGAGATTGAGGGGGGGAAAGGGGTTTTGTGAACAAAAGAAATGGCAGTTAAAGAGTACACAAACAAGGTGGGGTGGCCTTGCTCCCGCGTTGTACTCCCTATGTCAGGAATGAGACCAGGCTCTGCATTTGAACTCACCTTTCCTGGCAGAGTAAAACTCACCCAGATTAAATGTAGGTTAACAGACGGTGTGAATTTTAAAGAAGGTCAGTTAAAATGCACCAGCTGTGGGGCAGGCGGTCTGTTCAAAATTAAAATGTTGCCTTCCAAGGGAGCTGGAAAAGCATTTTGGGACCAGAGTGCGCTGCGCTGCATTAAGGCCCTGCTCAGAACGCTGCCTGCAGTGCTATGATGAGTTCAAAGACACATCAAGAC